CAGTGATAAAAAGTCTCTATCTTCATCAGGTGGAAGGCAAAGCCTCTTTAACACCAGTCACACTAGTTCAAAACACCTATTTCATGTTAGCTGCCTGTGTTGGTACTGTTAATGCTCACCAAGATTATGCAATGTAAGACAGTATATTAAGACAATGCAAAAATCACAGTAACATACCCATTTATCATAAGTCCTGTTGTTGAGTCAGCAAAACAGCCTACAGCATATCCAGGATAATTCTAAAGTAGAATACCTAAGTCCAAAAACATAGACTGCTTCCTGTATATAAACTTGCCCAGAGCTTGCTTGCATGTTTCTACAGCAACTTCCATCACTGGCCCACCTTAAACAACTTGAGATACAAGGTTTCATCACCGTACATCAGCTGATCTGAAGCAATGTTTTGTATGAGCTCTTTGTGGCAATAAATAATTCAAACTCTTCTAAACCCCATTCATTGAGGAGAGACTGAATCTAGTGTAATGCAAGTCGAAATGAGAAGTCCACATTAAACACTTTCACCAGGCACTGGAACACTTTCAAAGCTGAGTAATTATGATTCCCTGTGGTTTCATAGGTTAAGAGAAACTGAAGAACAACTTTGAAGTTGCTTGTTGATGTCACAGAGTTAAGTGTTTTATATACTTGCAATATTGAGTTCCTAAAATAAACTTTTTTTTTTTTTTCCCTACAGCACAGAGAAGTTGCATAGGGAATAGTGGCTATCCAGCCAAGGATCCTGTCTTCTGCAGTGCAGACAACCTATGTTTACAGGCAATGTAAGAACATAACACGAAGTGATTTTGTCCCTTTCATACCATCCCAGCCCTCCAGTCAGCAGCAGCATGCAAACCTTCTGAACTAGAGGTTTCATACCAGACCGTCACATTCAGCAGGTGTGGATCAATCTCTGAACCTGTCCAAATCAAACATGATTTGTGGTTTATGTTAATATTGCCAACAACTGTATTAATATCAACCTGCTTCTAATATTTTAACTTCAGAAATACATGAAAAACATTTCGTTGTTAAATTTAATGACAAGGAAAAGCAGTCTGGTCTGCACCATTTTTTTTCAGGTTAATTTATCTTGTATATTGAACAGTAGGCATATCTATGAGCAGGAGGCAGGAGTATCTGAAGGAAGCTTATCTATCCTCAAGCCTTGCTGCCAGCAGAAAAATGAGTCCTGAAGTCTCTAAAAATAGCAACTCTTACGACTTTCTCTGTTAGATATGGTAAATTATTTTACAGTTAAACAAAAAAACCACCCACCAACAACCTAGGTATTGAGGCCATAAAATCACCACAGGTAGAATCACGAAGCCTTTGTTCCCATTCTCTCACATCTTTGCAGTATCAAGCAGTTTTCATTTTTCGCTGGATATGTATTTCTTCGAAGTGAATAAAGTCTTAGTAATCGATTTAATTGCACTCAGTAATATGCTCTTCCAGGTGTTTAAAACACTTAATGATTCAGATTCCATTTGTAAAAATTATGAGGTGTTCATTTAAAATCTTCATCCAAGAAATTGCTTGGGTACTGCAAAGACAACCAAAGGCAAGCCTATGCAGGCAGGGGCAGGCAGAGCTGAGTTCTTTTGCCTGTAGTGTTCCCAGCTGGCCAGAAACAAACCAGTTCCAGCTCAAAACATGCAACCATTTTCATGTGATGTGTCCAAGTTAATAGTCTTTATTTAGATACAACACTGCAATAATACTTCTATGGAGACTCAAGATTGGAGCAGGCTCCCATCAGACAGCTCAGAGGCCAGGCAGCTGAGCTCCTTCCTCCACCAGACATGCTGGTTTGAAAATGTTTATCGGCCTACTAGGATTGCTTTCCCTATAGCAAGCAACAATTCTCAGATTAAATCCCTTTCATTTAAGGCTGTATATATTTACTGTAAGACACTAGACCCGAAGAAATCCATATCCAGTTATAAAGAAATCGGGCCTCAGTCCTGCAAATTCTTACTCTGACACAAAGCTCCTCTGAAAGTTAGTGGGACCACTCTTCATGAACAATGTCCAGGTTGATAAGATTCTTATCTTCTGTCAACATTTTATTTTTAAAATTAAATTGCTTTTACTCTAGTGCTGAAATATCATGGGATTCTGTATGCAAAGAAATACCAACAAATATATCAACAAATCTCTAAACACTGCTTCCCAAAGTATTTATGATAGTTGACTGCCAGAGATGTTTCACATACTAAGCTGTGCACTGAGTTCACGATACGCACAAATACAGTTATGAAAGCAAAGTCTAATTTTACAGAGGCTCCAAAAATGATGCATTCAAATTTCATTCATGAATAGTCACATAAAGAAGCCAGCAGTTTCTACGTCTGCACCTACTCGCTCAGCTGCCTGGTCAGCAAGCAAAAAGCAAAATCAGAACATAATTCTGGGGCGTTATTTTAAAGATAGCAGGAAATTCTACTCTCAGGATGTTACTTTAGAGCAGCAGAAGCAGTCCATTTATAAATCAGCACATCTCATCCCATTCTGCCTTACCATACAAGTATCTCAAAATAGAGTATGACAATGCACAGTTGCTGAGTGTCCCCAGTACACACAGGTCAGTCAAGGATTGTCTCCCCTTGCATCTACTTCTTCTTTTGTTCCCTTTTGCTTATGACTGGTCATATCAATAAGATATGTAAATATGCTTATTTCACCATGTCAGGATTACATTTTAGTTAATTCATTTCTTATACTAGTCACACATTTGAATCTACAGGAAAGCATTTTAACACAAACGGTATTTGTTTTTAACAACAGAAGTATAAATCCAATGCAGTGTGACAGAAACTACATTGCAGCACTCAGAGATCTCATGTAAGAGTTTAACAGAATAGAAGCTTGGAAACGTGACAGAGGAAACTTCCATTAAGTGTACAAGTCCAATTTCCAATTAATGTAAACTAAAAGTGCCAAATAATAATCTAAACCAAAAACTCCCCTCACCCTCCCCACTCCCTGCCTCCAGTAGATTTAGCTTAATAGTATCCAACCCAACTTTCTTTTGACTTTTGGTTGAGTAAACAGAGACAACTGACATTAACATATTTCCAAAACAATAGAAAATAGGACTAGAGATGAGATATAATGCAGTTTTGCCACTACTGACTAATGTAATTATACAGTGCCTTGAGACCCTCATAGGTGAGGATAACTCTGACAACACAGATATATCCCCTGCCCAAACACAGTAGTTTTATGAAATAAATTTTTGCTTACATGAAAAACACATCCTACTAAAAAAAACCCACAAGCAATAAAAAATGCTATTTCTGGGAAGACAAGACAGCTGTGATTTTTTTTCTCAAGAAATCTCAGTTTACGTATATATAGGAATGAGTTTTAAGTCCAGAACATCTTAGCATTTAAACAAACAAGAAGACTACACTAGTACAGTTACAGATGCTTGTAGTCTGGAAAGGATCATAACGGTGCAGAGTTACATCTTCCCAAAGCAGACATGGAATAAGCTGAAGCTGTCTGGGACTTACACATGCTAAACATACTGACAGGAACGGTTCAGGAAAAGAAAAAATGATAAAAAAAAAAAAAAGCTGAATCGTCCCTTAACTGAAACAGTTTTGTTTTGTTGGAAAAAAAAATCTTTCTGTAGGTTAAGGTCTATATAGAAAGATACAGCAGCATAAATGCAATGCTTCACGGCTTAAAAACAACAGAGGAAACCTGAAGAGAAAAATGGAACTAAGATGGAAGTTTTCAGGAGCGAGAAACAAGAAGAAAACAGAGGGAAACAAAAGCAAATGTAAAGCATGAAAAGAAGCTTGTTGAAGGAAAAGGTAAACAAGAACAAACAGTACGTTAGGGGTGGAAGAAAAAAAAAAAAAAAGCAGTGACATTTCATACCAGACTAAGACTTAATTAATATTCAACTGCATTTCCCTTAGCTACCGATGTATTTACATCTGAACTATCAATAGTTGTATCTGTAGTCATAATAAACCACAGATTAAGTATCTTCCCTTAATTTTTGAATCACCTCCAAAAAGAGTTAAACAACATTTTAAAAGGGAAAGAAATTACAAATTAGGGAACCCAAAAAAGATTTGCAGCTATCAGTGAAGATAAAAAACAGATATGGACCTTTGCACAACAGGAAACAGTATTTTGCAAAAGGATATGGTCAAACACTATAGACAGGACTCTACTGCAGCTGGAGCCTTAAACTCAGGTAACGAATGCTGAAATACAGAAGAAGTATTTCCTCTTTTATAATTTGGGTGGAGAAGAGTGAAAAGAGGAGTAATACTCCCACTTCAAATTCTCTTGAGTTTTTATGAAGAGTAGACTTTCCAATCTACAGCTACCAACAACAAGCTGCTTTACGAGAAATATCATCGATTTATGCTACCCCTTAAAATCAGGAAAGTAATCCAATTCAGAAAAAAAATCACAAATGTAGACCAAACATTTTGAAGAATTCCAGAAAGGGTTGCGCTGAAGAGGGATTTATGGAACTGAAAACACTGACAGCAGCAGCAATGTGGAACTACCAAAAAGGTGTTTACCAATTCCTTAAGAATAGTGTGAATCTCTCGTTTCTTTTTTTCCCCTCCATTTTTTTAGCTGCATGTTGTTTTTGCTGAATGCTGAACATTAAACCCATACTCTCAGCAACAGATGAGCATTCCTGAACTACTTTGCTACCAGAATGTATGCGCTTTATTGGCCTTATCATTGATAAGACATTGCTCAGGCTTTTCTATTGCTCTGAACATGAAAATATTAAGTGAAAACTGAAGCCCTGAGCAACACTAGCAGCATTATGATACACATTTAGTTGTTATCTGAGCTATCTTCAAGGTATCTGTCAAAGTCTCTCCAGTTGCCAGACACAGATGACCACAAGAGAGCCCTGCTCCGTGCCCTCCCCCCTGCAAGGTCTTTCCTACAACAACACAGCCAGCATTCTACCAAACCCGCTACGGCAAGCGCAGCCAGTTCTCCCTACTCACCATGGAGGGTAGATGTGGATGACATCCTGTGGCCTGCTCTTCAGGTGAGCTGCTGTTTCTCTTGCAAACAAGACTTTGAGTATTGGTTCTCCTGCACTGATGATGGTGTCCTCCGATGAAAGAGTAGCAGGAGACTGCTCCAGTTGCTGGCAGATGGCAATTTGTATTGTACACTCCTCAAATATTTCCAGGATCTTCACAATTAGGACACCAGATTTATCTGGAAAGTAAATTAAAATGAAAAATAAAAATGCAGTCTGGAGGAGGAGAAAGAAATGCTGGCATTCTGAAGATGTGCAATCCCTCTGCAGGTATGTCCAACCGTGAAAAATCTACATGTGAGTAGAATATATTGCCCCACTAAAAGACATTTTAAGGTTTTCTGGTAATTTTTCTTTTCTTTACAGATACTATTAACTGTGGAGACAAAAGCCCACCTGCACTTCTTCAAACACCAATGAAATCACAAACTGCTTACAAGAAGCCCTCTCCCACCACATTTGAACTTTTTAATCTTGCAACTCATTCACTTTGTTCAGTCTTTTTTTAAATTACATATGGCCCAAAATAAATTTATTTTAAACCAGAATAATCACAGTGTGTTAAAAGTGAATCTGTGTTTGCCCTCCCTAACCTTTCTCACAGCAACAGTTGTCAGGGACCAAGTCAGAAGAGCACGTTAGGTACAAAGCATCTAAAACCTGGTGATTCACATTTAGAGGCAAATGTGGAGAAAGAAGGAGTAAGATGCATTGCCTGAAAACAATTATTGCGAAACCGATAACCCATTGTATCAGTAGACAATCAGGATACAGAAGGCTGTCTTGTTTTAGAGCAACATGAACAGATACCAGCTCCTCCACAGTTCGATTCTAAGCACTTTTGTCTGTGCTGAACAAGAAGAAACTTTGCACTGAAATTAAATTACTTCTACATCCCTTTGCAGCTGACACCAGTGCAACAGCTACTCTGACAGACCTGCACCTGTAATGTAAGATTATGTAAGATTTCCTCACTTTTTCAACTAACCCTACTCAGATTTGTGCTCTAGTTACTGAGGGGAGAATTGTTAGCTACCTGCCAAATGCTGCAAGTTGGTAGTGGGGAAAGACAGGGTGCCATAGGACAGAGGCAGCAGAGCCCCAGTTCTGCCCATTTTGATTTACAAGTTCTGTTGGGAAAAACATAGCATCCCAAGAAAAACAGCTGATATAAATTATTGTCTTCCCACAGCAAAGAAGCAGCAGTGGAGGAACTGTGAACGTGATACTGGGACTTAATGGCAGAGCTGTACTAGTTATTTGTTTGTTTATTTTAAGGCTCATTTCACAATTGTGAATGCCCTTCCTTTGGAAAATAAGTCAAAATATTTTAGTTTCAGTTTATGAGAAACTTCAAAAAAAATTAACCCAACCCTCAAGAAACCCAAACCAAAGAAACTGGGCCCTAAAACCTTTCAGGTTTATTAAATAAAGTTAAATTCTACCAAAAAAAAAAAAATTGTCCCTGTTTTGTATTCCTCAGTCTTTATTACATTTTATACTGAAACTGAAATAAAGTAATTTTGAAATATGAAACTGAAATGTTCTCAAAACCACTTTTATGTGAACCAAATTTTCATCACATGCAAAATGCTTCTGCAAAGTGTTCTGTTTCTCATGAAATCCAGCAGGATAAAGGGTTCCACCAGAAAGTGCCCCAAATGATGTACATAAGCCATTTCTATCCAAGCCATCACAGCTTGACCTCCTTTTTTAGATCTGAGAAGCAAAAGTAGGAGAACCGATCCTTTCTGCCAAGTCCCTTGAGATTGGCTGAGGAAGAGAGATGGTTGTCACCGCTGTTACTCCTCACCACTGCCACCTTCTCAGGGAAAGCTGTAACATCAGTGTCACTCCAAATACTCACTGCACTGTGTTAAGGCCTGTTTATATGCAAACTTACTACTAAGTGTGAGCATGGACTAGTTTTCTATGCCTAAAGGCAAGGACTTATAATATTCACACTTGAGTTCTGTTTTGCCTGACTAGCTGCAGTTGTGGTCCTCTGCAACCCCAAGTCATGTGGCATGCATAAACAAATTATCCTAACCACAAAAATTCTCAGCCTTCAAAGTAACTGAGCATTTACCTCTCCCCTCCAGACATACTGCACAATTTGCATTTTCACCCACTAAAAAACAAGTAAAATATCAACCTCAGCTTTGAAACACACCAACTATTTGTTTAAAAAAAAAAAGTATTAAGACAGCTCGTAAGACTGTTCATCACTTCCAAACTTCACATTTCTTACATGCAGAATTTTATGACAATTCTTACTGGTCAGCTGTGTATATGTTACTCAGCTGATAAAGCAGGTTGAAGACAGTGAATGACAACCCAATAACATTTTTCTTTTAAATACCTCTGACTATAAAACAGTTTAAAATACTGGATAAATCAAGAACTGTATCTATATGAAAGCTTCTAATAGACATTGGAGGAAAACACCATACCAGGGTACCAGTCTCTTGCAAGCCAGTCTTAAAGTTGGCACAAACACTGGGAGCTGATACTAAATGAAGCTGAATGCTTCTACATTAAAAGCAGCACCATTTCAACAACTAGCCAAGTCTCACACTTGGCACACATGTACATTCTACAGAACCACAATCTATTTGTTTATTTAGATGCACAGAGATAGTTTAATTTAATTACTCAGAAATTGTTATTACTGCCACTAATAGAATGCTCTCTTGAACAACATGGCAAAACACTTCAGATTCCTGGCATGTGATGAAATACTGAAGTTCAGAACATAGCTTCTTTTTAAATTCATTTGGCTCTTGTATTGTTATGTCAATCAAAAATAAATCAAACATATGTGGCTTCAAGAATCTGTGGGTGAGGAGATGGGCTGGATCACAGCAATTTCTATGGTTTCCAGAGTTTACTTGTTTGCTCATCTGTGTGAAAAGCTTACTTTTAAGTTTTTGCAATGTTCTCTTTCACCTTGGGTAATTCACAGAAGTTCTCCCTTGCTGAAGTCCTCGTTCACTATATTCCACTTGCAAAGCAGAATTACATCCCAAGAAATTCAAACCTGCAGATGTTCAGGTTTCATGGCAATACCCAGTAACCTTAAACAAGAATACCTTACAATAATATGTATTTTAAAAGGTGCAAATAATAACTGTGCTGCAGTCCTGCCCGTTCCTACAATGTGTATTCATTCATTTCCCATTTTACTGTCTAGAGCACTTATAAATATTTCTTCAGTGTTAGTTTTTAACAAAATCAGTGAGCTAATCCAGCTAATTGCAAAGCTACCAAAGCACATGGGTAGATACTAGGGAGAGGAAAGAAAAAGTGATGGAAAGAAGAGAGGTAGGACAGGAAGGGACCAAGGGAGGATGGTTCTTTTCAGTGACAGCCCAACCAGGGTGAATTAAGCCAGTTTCAAACACTGTCCAGTTATTTCTTTTCCCCTATGGTGCGCAGGCTGTGCTGTCCCTGAGACACTCCTTCAGCACACAGGAAGGACAGGCAAGATGAAGTCACTGAACAGATATGGGTTGTTCAAGCTGTGAAGTCCACAGGCACATTTGATACCATAAGCAGTACATCTATTCTACAACTCTCTACCAGACTCTCATCTTTTTTGAGCCTCAGCATCACAGTGGATAGACATCACACTATGGTAATGAAAACATGGGTCAGAGCATGCCTAGTGTTATCTTTCAACCACCAATTCTAGGGATAACACTATACAATGGAGGGACCCTGAGAAAGAGAGGAGTAAGGACTGCAGGTACCTATGGAATGCTTGTTTCAAAAAACTTCAGTTTACTTACTTGAAGGTAACCTTTATTCTCCTACTGAAAGACAAGTCCACATGCTCACTCACAGAAAGTGACCATACTGCTGTCTGGATGCGTTCAAAAATCTTCTACTCAAACAGCAATTTGAGGACTGCCTAACAAAGCTCCCCTTTGGTGCCAGATGTCTCTGCAACAGTGCAATGTTTGAGGGAGATAAAGATGGAAACCCACGTAGCTGCCTAATCGGTGTCAGACATAGGTACATTTCTCAGCAAAGCCCTGGGCACTCTGAGCCTGGGTTTCAGAGGGCTGCTGCAACTCAGCATGCCCTAGCATGGACAGCTGCTCTTTCCAGGACCTCTCCATAGTCTTCATAGTCTTCATACATAATCAGCTGCAAAGTCAGTGAAATCATCACTGACACAGACTCAAGGATCATTTGAAAGATCTGGCCCCATGAATGTAAACAGAGAATTTATTCATCCCAGGGGCATGAAGTAGAAATTCAATCCCTGATAAACAAGGCTTGAGGTGCAAGGAAGAAAGACACTGATAAATCTCACTGAGAGTGAATTTTGAAGAGGCATTTGGGATGTATAATATGACTCCTCTGAAGACCACCATTTAAAAGGAAGGTAAATCAGCCACCAGGGCCTGTAATGTTCCCTCATTTCTAACATAATTTTCTGTAAGAAAAACCTTCACAAAGACATGCAGCAACATGCTGGCTACTAGTGATTCAAAATGTTGGTCACCGAAGGGCCACAGTACAAGAAAAATCAGATACCAGTGATGAGCTGGCTTAGTCTTCACCCATAAAGGTCACATCTGCCCTTTGCAGGCAGTTTGGTAAGTGCTAACCCACTGGAAGACAACAGACAAAAGTCACTGCTAGATGGACTGTGATCAAACAAATTAATTCCTCCAGACCTCACAAAAGGTCCAGAATGAGTGAAGCCAGCAGGAAAGACTGACTGGTGGGAAGAACAAGTAATTTAAGCAGTGAAGTTTCTCTGGTGAAGACTCTCTGTGATTGACAAGAACTTCCCTCACCTCTCGGTCAAGAAACAAGAAGCTCTAACAAAAGCCACCCAGCAGCCCTTCCATGAGGCAACTGGATGGACAGATTTAGCACCACTCTATCAGCATACACAGGAGCCACATCTTCAGTCTCCTGATAGATAGATAGATAGATAGATAGATAGATAGATAGATAGATAGATAGAGAAATGCTGATCCAAACTTAGGCAAATGGGACATTAACCTCTTGCTGCTACTGTTAGCAGAACCTTTGAAATCACAGGAAAGGTCTTTTTGGCAACAGCAATAATGGAACAAACCTGGCAAAGATCATGGGTATAATTTCCAAAAAAGCCTGATGCTTCACAATCGTGTGATCAAAACAGGTCTATATTGTGTGA